TCCCAGAGCCTGTATTTTTAATTCGGTTTACAGATAAATTATTTTATTTTTTGTTTTTTGTAGAGATGATGTTTCACCATATTGCCCAGACCTGGTCTTGAACTCTTTCTTTTTCTCTTTCTTTCTTTTTTTTTTTCTTTTCTTTCTTTTCTTTCTTCTTTTTTAACATACAGGATCTTACTTTGTTCCCCAGGCTGGAATGCAGTGGCCCGATTATAGCTCACTGTAACCTTGAATTCCTGGGCTCAAGTGATCCTCCTACCTCAGCCTCCTAAGTGGCTGGGACTATAAGCATGCACCACCCTGCCCAGCTAATTTTTTTGTTTTTTTGTAGAGACAGGGTCTTGCTGTGTTGCCCAGGCTGGTCTTGAACTCCTAGACTCAAGTGATTTTCATGCCTTGGCCGCCCGCAAGGGGTTGCGATTACAGGCATGAGCCACTGTGCCTTGTCAATCCCAGGATTTTAAAAGTATATTTATTATTTACTTTTCTCGATAGTAAAATATTTTATTCCTCTTTAACTTTATTCATATTACACTACAAAGTGTAGATCCAATTTTTTTTTTTTGAGATGGAGTCTCGCTCTGCCGCCCAGAGTGGAGTGCAGTGGCACGATATTAACTCACTGCAACCTCCGCCTCCTGAGTTCAAGCAATTCTCCTGTCGCAGCCTCCGGAGTAGCTGGGATTACAGGTGCACGCCATCATGGCTGGCTAATTTTTGTATTTTTAGTAGAGACAGAGTAGCACCATGTTGGTCAGGCTGGTCTCGAACCCCTGACCTTGTGATCCACCCTCCTCAGCCTCCCAAAGTGCTGGAATTACAGGCTTGAGCCACCATGCAGGCCCCAACTTTTTTTTTTTTTTTTTTTTTGAGACAGAGTCTTGCTGTGTTGCCCAGGCTGGAGTGCAGTGGTGTGATCTTGGCTCACTTGAAATGCTGCTGTTATGGTATATTTTTATATGTATTTGCATTCAATTCCTATTCTTTCTAGTCTAATTATTGATTTATAAACACATTGTTTATAATATAGTTTATTTTGGGGTGCTACATCCCCTAAATACTCTTTTTCAGAATTTTCAGGCTTGTTTTGCTTATTTTTCCATATGAACATTAGAATCACCTTGTCTAGCAAAGAGAAGAGGAAAAGGAGTTTTTCTTAGCCTCCTTGCTAGCAGAATTTTGGAACCCAAAGGCCTCTTTTCATTTCATACTGTCTGTGTCCCTTTCTGTCCAACCTGGTTATGCTTCTATATATATATATTTCTTTCAGAAATCTTACAGGTCTC